TCCTCTTTCTGGCGCAAAGTGGGCGATAAACAAACAAGAAAGACGGGACTTGCGGCAGAAAAAACGATCAGCTGGTCATTGATCAGTTTCATGATTGAAGTAGCAAAGGGGGAGGGAGGGGAGAGAATGAGAGAAGAGTCAGCTTTGTAGCAAAGACAGAATAACTCCAGCTTTGTATTTTTGTTTTTGTTTTTGGGTTTTTTTTTTTTATTCTACCTGAAGTATGGAACAAGTCTCTTCCTTTTCACATCAATATGGAACTCCGACGGCCAGTCCAGCTGTGGCTCCATATATCAGTTGTTAAGCTTAACGTGGAAATACTATGCAAACATTCAGACATGCACTTACACACTTGCTTTACTCCTCTGGGATAGTTTTCTCTGAGATGAAATGACACTGTTTGGAAGCATAGCGAGGCTCCAAAGGCTCCACCAGACCACCAACAGGTCTCGCAGACAACAGCTCTATCACGTGACACATACTGCTCCGATGCGCCAAGCTGGGCTACGCCAGGTAGCGCGTTTTGTGAGGTGATTTTGTGATACTTCGGATCGGATTACATTTTTTATTTCTCTCCGATATCCGATCCAGTAATTTAGGTCAGTATCGGAACGATACGTATCGGTCCTTCTCTAATAACAACTAGCAGTTATAATAATTGACTTATGTTTTAAATTTTTCATCAGGAAAAAGTACTAAAAATTGACCATAAAAAAATAATACATTATCCTTTGATTTTGTTTTTATCTAGAACATGAATTCACTCTAATTCAGCTTATAATTTAACATCAGTATTGTGAGGACTGTTTAAAAATAGTAGCTTAATGGAATGAACATATTTCTCCCTGTAGTTTAGTGATTAAGGCTCCATTAGCTAATAGTATTTCTGTTAAATATGTGTACTGGGTTTGCTATAGAAATTTGTCTTGCATTGTTGATTGTCCTTAGTGGCAGATTAGGCATTGTCTGAATGTGGTCCCTCTGATGAACTGCACTGGTTTTAGTTATTGGAATTCTTTTTGTTAATGTTTTTGATTCAGTGATTCCATTGTGTAGCTAATGTTTCGAATCATATGCATGGTATTATGAGATGCAGTCTCTGCATTGTTTTAGGAAGAGGTGGAAACCAATATCCCTGATTAATCACTGTTTGTAAGTATCAAAGTATTAGTTAATGATTTGGTGTAGAAGGGATTAGGACTCTCAGCGGGATCATTGTAAGATAATGAACAGATCAAACATTCACTTTATCTTTAACTCACAATAGCACTGTGCCTCCCAGCGTTGCATGTCATCTGTTGTTATTATATTATTTCCTTCTGCTTATTGAGGCTTGGCCCTGGTTATTTTGTGATCAGTGTGTCCAGCAGAGCCATATGAAACAGTTTAAATGCAATTACTCAGCGTTTGCTGATATTATCATCAAAACAGTGCTTTTATTAAGGCGCTAGGTTTGAAGGAACCCAAAGGGTCTTGTAACAGGGACCTGTGTAACATTAGCATCTACCTCACTTTAGTAATTTACTGTCTCCACAATCAACACAGTTGATTCCCTGTCCTACAGAAAGCTTAAATATTGCTTCAGTGAATACCAAATTTGTGGTATATATGGACACATGTATGTAAGCAAACACATTACCACCCTCCTAAAAGCAAAGTGAGGGGCAGAACTTTAAATAAATAAAATTGTGATAAATTTTCTCTTTCCTTACAGTACTTCCATTTCCTGTTGGCATAGGTTTTCAATATTTGATATAGTGCGAGACATCTGATACACCACTATTAGTTTAATTATTAAATAAAAATCAAAAGAGGCCAAACTGGGAATTATGTAGTTATTCTCTGCATTAAGGTATCTGTGTGCATATTTTTTCCCCCTCAAAGTTGAAAAATGTATAATTTCCATTAATTAGTGTTAATTACGGTAATTATATGCTTGTGCATGTAAAGTGTACCATGTTGTGATTTTTTTTTTTTTTTTTTTTTTTTGTGAGTTGTTTTCAAATTTTACCTATTACTTGAAAAACAACAAGAAAAAACAACTCAGTAATATGCTAATTAGTTTAGAGCCGTCTGTTAGTATATTAAACTGTCTCTGATATAATACAGTAACTGTAAAAGATTTCGGGCACATTTCCCGTATCTTTTTGCTAGCCATGTTCTTCCTGCATACACTAAACAGATTAAAACTAACAAATACAATTAGGTGTTTTTGCAGTCCCAGGCCTTATTTAAAGTACAACAGTAAGCGGAAAGCATTAGGCCTTGAGCACAGAGTGTCTTTGCTCACTGTTTCTTGTGTGTAGCAATGCAGTGCATGAAATTTCAGTATTAAATAGAGATTATATTTTGTGTTAATAAATTGTAATCAATTTCCAACTAATAGCATCGCTAGCCTTAAAGCTTTGAACATCTGCGATAATCAAAAGAAGTCTTTGCCAGCAAATTGTTGTGTGAGTGGTGCAAAGTCACACAACATGAACATCTGACACCACAAGTTTGCAGAGGGAGAGGGCAATTTTATTTAACTTGTCTGCTGTACTTTGAGTCATAAATGGTATAAATTGTATTGTATTATTCAGACCATTAAGCATGTCATGAATAAAAGATGAAACGGCATTTTTACAATAAGGAAAGTTGGAAAAGACTGAAGACAGAAACGATTTCCTGTAATATGATATCCTGCGTAATGTTTGTAGAACTGTATGCGGATACCTTGCAGCAACCTGATGTCATCTGCAGGTAACGTAGCGTAAACACAGTGGATAGCCATGCATAGTATTTGATGTCATTTAAATGCAGCTACCAGGAGTGACTTAAATTGTTAATTTTATTACAGCAGAGAAAAGCGAGTGTAAATTTTGTCACTAAGGTTTCTTTGCCATTATCAGGCCACCATTGTGAAGAGCATTTTGTTCTTAATGGTTTGCCTGGTTAAATAAAAGATTAAAATTGCTTGAAAGCCTGTGCCTGTGGCTCAAAGACAGTTGTATGTTTCTAACTATCTCTCTATACTTTTTGTCTCATTTATCTTCGCTCGCAGGCCACAGTACTTTAAGATCATTGAGGAATGTGTTTCTCAAATTGTGCTCCACCGTAGTGGCACTGACCCAGATTTCAGTTACCGCAAGCGCCTCGATGTCGACTTTAGCCACCTATTAGGCAAGTTGCACAATTTTGATAGCTTTTTTTTTTTTTTTTTAATTTATTTTTTTCAGTAGAGCACTGATAATTTCTGACTAGTTGTTTTTTGTTTTTCAGAGGTGTGCGTGGATAAATCTCGAATAGATGAATATGAACAACAAGCTTCGGAACTGGCACAGAAGGCAAGTAATGACAAAAGGAAGCAAAAATATAGCATGCTGACATTTAAACTAATGTGTTGTATAAAATAAGGTACTAATGAAACACAAACTCTTCTAAAAATCTAAATATAATGAGGCCATAGGAATAACAACCATATAGGTTTTTGTAAACATCAGTTAGCAACCGTGACATCTTGCTGTGGAATAATGACCAGACTGACCTTAAAATACGCAAACTTCATTTTAAAGTGAGATATAATAAAACAATGTTTTATTGTAATGTAGCAGTGTAATTGTATCTGTTTCTACCATTAGCTGAAATCAGCTAATTTCAAGTTATATTCCAAGTCAGTATTATGTGTGCTTGGTTGAATAAACTGGATATTTGGTGCTCTTTTTTTCAGTTTGATGAGGAATTTCTAAGCAGACAGGAGGCACAAGCTCAGCTGGTCAAGTGTGAAGAAAAAATAGCTGAACTCCAAGCAGAGCTACAGGCCTTCAGGTCCCAGGTACTTTTGTACATTTTGTTTTTATTCGAAACGGGATGTGAGATGTAAGAAAATGTTCGATTGGATTACTAATTAAAATCCCTTGAATATTGCATTGAAATTCAATTCAACTTTCTTTTCTTACTTTCCAATGGTGAGATGTTCTTGTTATTTAGGGTTGTGGCATAGGGGTGGGGGTTTTATTCACTGGAGCCTGCCGTTTGGTTTGACATAGAGGCTGCTCTACTGGCTAGCTGACACTAAGTCTAATAGGAATACTGACCAGTCCTCCATGTTGGCCATTTCTAATTCTCTGATCTCTATCCCATAAGAGGAAATTGTTCTAAAAGCAATTTATTCTGACAACCCCTTCAGCCCCCCCTTCCCATACCACAACACTCCAGAGAGTTACTCCTACACCCTGGCACTGCAAGATAACTACACACTCAGAGAGAGGAAAAGAACTTCCTTTTTTTCCATGATAATTTTTCAATTTGAGTGAGCAAACACAGGATGAATACTCAAATACTGCCTTGGTTCAAATGGTGATGGTACATTTAACCGGTGCAGGTGCATGCATACATACTTTGTCTCTTTGTCTTTGACCATGCCTGTATCAGTCTCGCTCCCACCAAACAGACTTTCACTCGTGCTTGTTAATTCAGCAAAGGTGTTCTTCCCTGCAGACGCAGAATAAGAGCCCAGGGCTGACCTTTAGTCGGCGTCTTTAATCTAAAACTGGTGCATGGATCAATAAGCCATTTGCTCTATATGATACAATTTACAAAGCTATAGCATTTCTGTTTTTTTGTATTTTTGAAAAAACATCATTGTGTGTATGATCTTAACAGTATCTGGACCCTTTCTGAGCATTTGGCCTTTACTGAATGGTTGAAAGAGTACAGCTCTGGTATCCATACCGTAGAGGTATTACACAGGAAAGAATACAGAACATGGTGTATAAGCACATTTTGTTTTGCTTTTGGTCTCTCCAATAAGTCGTTTTTCTTTGTTTTCTTTGACATGTGAATTCACTGCCACGTGATATTTAAAAAATAAATAAATAAATGAAATACGAAGGCGTTCATTCTGCAGAAAATACATTTCAAGTTGGAAGCTAAGTGCAATAGCATGGAGCCCTAAACTATGAACTCTGGGACTGGCTGATTGAGATGTCGTATCATCAGCCTTGTTCAGCCTGTTTTGTAAATTTAATTGATGATGTTGTATTTCAAGTATAATTTTTTAAATTCCAGGCTACAGTTTACTGTTCAATTCAAAACTGCTTCAGTTCTGAGCTCTGTGCGTGCATGTGTGTGTGTGCGTTTATTTCTACTTCTATAGCTGAATTTTATTTTGCTTGAATTTTCAGTTTGGAGCTGTACCCGTGGGGCCGGCCAATGCTGGACAGGCATCATCTTCTTCAACAATCCCATCTGGGGTTCCAATTCCTGCTCCAGCATCTCTTGGGCCAGTCCCACCACCACCTCCCCCTCCGCCTCCGTTACCTGGTTGTCCTGCACCACCTCCACCACCTGGAATGCCTCCTCCGTTTGGTGCTCCCCCACCACCCCCTCTTGGATTTGGGGGTGGTCTAGGCTCACCTACCCACCACACTCTGCCTTATGGCCTCAGGCCAAAGAAAGAATTCAAGCCTGAAACCTCCATGAAGCGCCTGAACTGGTCCAAGGTAAGACTCACAGATGTAACATACTACAGTTGGTACAATGCACCGTAGTGTATGTTACATTATAAAAAATGAAGTATTTCAAAAACTTTGAAAGAAGAAACTAAAATTTAGGCCACGTAGAGACCCTCTACTTCGTTCCTGATGTTTATTGGCAGCTCCTGCTAAGTACAGGTGTTTCTCTGAGAATTAAACAACAACTTTCTCACTTTGTGCCAAGACAGAAATAATTGAAAATAACAGATGATCAGATGCTATTGTCAGAGCAGCCTCTGTGGTACTAATACAGATGTTGTTATCCGCAAAGCAATATTAGTTCACACCACCAGCGATGTTAGTTTGTGGTTTGATTAATAATTTAATGTCAGATTCACAACAGTACAGATGTTCAGCAAATTAAACCAGATGTTTGAAATTTACAGAGAACATTCTTGTAGGACATGTGGAGAACCTGTCCTGTAGCTGTGGAAGACCCTTGCATATGGCTGTGTTTGGGACAAAGCTGTTGTAAAACTTTCTCATTAATAAGAGTTCAACTTCCAACTGTTGCCCACAAACAGCAGTCCTAATGCAGTGACACTCATTTATCACTTTCCTAATAGAGTGGCACTTAGTAAGGGTATCTTTGCTGAGGTCAGTGACCTGTCTTGCAATTTTAAACAAGGTGATCCACATCTGCACCAGAGTTTCATGGTGTTAATTTGACCATTCTTCATTTCTTCATCATATAACAAGAACTTGAAAGGTTTGGCTTTGGTGGACATACAAAAATACAGCTGGCAATTTACACATGTAATAGATACAGGAGGAAGTCAGCTTTCCGTTAGTGTTGCATTTCATTGGACTCTGCTTAATCTAATATTCACAAGTGTTTTAGTAAGGTCCGGCATATTGAGTCACGCAACAATGTTTGTATCTTGGCTCTAATTGCCTTTCAAAGCCAGTTGCTGACAGTGACAACGAGATCAGTTTAATATAACTACAAACATATGCAGTGAAAGATAGTTGATTCTTCAAAACATCAGCAGTGCTACCAGCGTTTGGTGATTAAAGGAAGTATTCACTTTGAAAATATTCTTTGATAGACTATGGATTCAATTTAAAGACTCCTCAATATATTTTTAAAATTAAGCTTGAGGTTTTACCAACTTCTATCTATTTATCTACCTGCTTGTCTGACTTTCTTTATTTTAGTCTGTATTGTAGGTTCTGCTGACTTTGTTATTGTTCCAAGGAGGAAAACTATTTCATTGAGTAATGGGAATACTGTACTTTATATTAATCTGGAAAGTAATGCAAATACCTGGTGGTGTGCTTATTGTTATTTATTTATAACATTTGGTGTCAGTCTTCATGGGAAACTATATCTCGAGGCTTTAATATGACTAATAAATAATTAAGTAATCTTTATATTTCTCTGTCAAGCCCTAACTGGTTTATTAAAGATGTAAATTATGGCTGTGTATTTTAAGATTCGTCCCCAAGAAATGTCAGAGGGCTGTTTTTGGGTGCGGGTTGATGAGGACCAGTATGCAAAGCCAGATCTGCTCAACAGAGTTGCTCTTACTTTTGGATCACAGAGAACAGGTAAGACCATCTACTTTTTAATGCACTTATTTAATTTCCATCTGTCAAGGTGGTGCATTGTATTCTGAGAAGGCTTGGTTATCCTTTACACTCTTATCGCTACGTTGGATACACTGTGTATGTTAACGCAGGTCAACAGCAAGCCAAACTCAATTTTCATGAGCCAGGAAACTGAGCGTCTTGCTCCTTTATTACGGTATTCTCGACGGCTTACAATCTTTTACAATTGTGGCTTGAATAACTCGATTAAAGTGCTGAGTGAAAAGCCATTGCTTTCGATGGTGTATATAAAGTAGGGCTGCACGATTAATCGTTAGAAAATCGCGATCTCGATTCATACTTATGTGCGATCTCATTTCCAAATGACAACGATTTAAAAAAAGAAAAAAAAAAGAAAAAAAAGACGACGACGATTGTACTGCATTTTGATCCGGGAAGTAATCTGCATGAAAACAAGCGCTCTCTCTTCCTGCTCAATAAATGACAAGGGCGGAGCCTTATACCACGTGATACAGAAGCTGGCTGCTAAAATTAGCAGGGAAAAAACAACGGAGAGCACGTCAGGGATGACGAGAAAGTGACAGGAGAAAATCCTTCCCGGTCAACCACCCAAACATCAATAACGGGAACCTTATACAGCGCTTCCCTATACATATCGAACTCAAAGAAATTACGGAGGCTATTACTTATCACCTGACCAAAGATATGGCTCCCATCAACACTGTGCAAAACGAGGGATTTAGGAAAATGATCAACACCCTAGACAAACGCTACACAGTGCCGTCCCGCAACTATTTTTCTATTGTTGCACTACCTGCTCTATACACGCAGTGTCGAGCAACGGTGGAGACAGAATTTCAAGCAGTACAACATTTTGCGGCAACAACAAAACGTGAGACATTTGTTGTTTTTATGTTTATTTATTGTTTTTATGTTCAGTCTCAACTGTTACGAAGTTGATGTGCAGTTAATAAGTGCAATAAATATTTATACTGGAAAAGAAAATCGTGAGAGAATCGTGATCTCAATTCTAAGCCAAAAATCGTGATTCTCATTTTATGCAAAATCGTGCAGCCCTATATAAAGATTCAGGCCACAGGAGATGAAGTTTAAACACAGCCAGGTTTTCTGTACCATGCTTTTTTCCCAACTGATTATAGCTTCTGCTTCCCTCAATGCATTGCGAACACATATTACTCCTTCAAAATAAGATACAGAAAAACTAATGCTGATTGTATAGAATATATTTTTAATTAAATGACTTTTTTTTTTTTAACATAACTTACCACAGTTGAAATATGACATTTTATCACTAAATTATTATGAACCATTTTTAATCTTTTACGTGGGACATCCTTCATAAACAGATGTTTTCACACAGTTAAGCATTTGTGTGTAATATATTATTTAACTTATTATTACATAATATTTCTTTGTTTTCTTTAACTTTTTTTTTTTTTTTAGAAATTTTCCGCACTCATCCATTCAGTTCACTCATCTAGACAGTTGTGTACATTAGTTTGTGTTCAGCACTGCTTTAAACTTTCTACTTCACTTTTTCTTCAGCCTTCTTGTCTCAGCTGGATGGTAAAAGTAATAATTAATAATTGTCTTAATTAAGATACTTCAGCAGTATTACTCTGGGTTTATAAGCATTGTGCAATCAATGAACCTTAAAAGAAATGGTCTTTTTTTTTTTTAGATACAGAATAATTTAGCTGAAAAGCAACAGAAACTATAAATGGTTAAACAACAAAAATTAATTAATAATTAGTCAGTGTTGGTCAAGTTACTTGAAAAAAGTAATCAGTAACTAATTACTGATTACTTCCCCCAAAAAGTAATCTCGTTACTTTACTGATTACTTATTTTCAAAAGTAATTAATTACTTAGTTACTTAGTTACTTTTTAAAAACACGATTTACAACCTGAATAGGTGATAAAGCGATAGATCTTTTAGCCCAATTCTACTTTTTCTGCATAATCCATCATACAAAATGTAATCAAATGGAAAAGTCTCTATTTAAAACTTGTTTTATTAGTTTTAAGCTTTTAACTTTATGCATCAAGCAAAAATTAAATTATGTGTTCGGTATAAAAAGAAGTTTTCTTCCCACGCACAAGGGACACTAATGTTTTTGTCACTCTTTATGGAACCAAACTCAAAGTAAGGTCAGTACTTCCACGCTTTAAACGCTGCACGCTCATACTCTCTCCCGCACTCGATATATGATCCATTGTTGATCTGCAGACAGCTGTTGTCACGAACGTCACACTCGCTTATGTCACTGTCATGAGACATTCTCGCAAAAAAATCTCTGTTTTAGTAACGCAGTAACGCAGCGTTCCTACGGCAAAGAAACGGTAATCTAATTACCGTTTTTGCAATAGTAATCCCTTACTTTACTCGTTACTTGAAAAAAGTAAACAGATTACAGTAGCGTTACTGCCCATCTCTGTAATTAGTAAATATAAAATAAAAAGAAAATAGAGGGCTGACTATAGTCTGATCTCGGCCTTGTCATGAACAGCTTTATGCACCAGGTGCAGCCCACTATCTGATTCTTCGGCCACATTGGAACCCATTCATGGTCACTGGCGGGCTTTCTGGACACTCGTTGCCTAGGTAACCCTCTAATGTATTTACTACCATGTCTTATCGGGGATAGCTGTTGTTAGTTGCTTGAATCTCTTGCCTGGAAGTCGATTAAACTCTTGGGACATTATTTGTTGTTTTATGTCCTTCATTGCAAAATTGCTTCCATGGAGATTTAGACTAGGGCTGGGTATCGTCACTGATTTCTAGAATCGATTAAATTCCGATTCACAAGGTCCAGGTGTAAGCGTCACAGCAGATGCTTTTGTGTCAAAGTAGCTGAAGATAAAACACAGAAAAACATGAAGGTGATTTTCCTGGCCTGGGATTTTATAAAAATATTCTGCAGTACATCAAAAACGAAAGAAAACCATTAATCAACATATGAACATTACCTCTAAAGTTACAGCGGTTTTATTAGAGACACGGTTAAGCATTATGTATTTTGAATAATTTTAAAAAGTTTAAATTTGTTCAGTATTGAACAGCAGAAATGAGATTTTCTTTTCGGAAGAATGTAAAAGGGAAAAAAACAGCGGCTGACAGCGCTGTAAACAACAATAGATTTGTGCGTAACAAGCAAGAGATTAATGAAGAAAGGGAAACTGTTCTTGAAGTACAGAGAGAGAGAGAGAGAGAGCGAGAGCTGTGCATTGCGGTGGAAGCAAAACAGTAAAAGTCAGAGTGAATTCATGACGATGTTTATGTGAAGCGTTTGGATCTTCTTTTGCTGCTGGTTCGGTCAATACTGTTTGGAGAGAGATCAAACTAACAGCTTTAGAATCGGCTCATAAAGGGCGTGAACACAAAGCGCGGACCCGCCGACAGATCAGAATCAGCGAGCTGTCGGCTTTCAGCCCCAACCGTGAGAAAGGCGGCATTTAAGAAAGGCGGTGTTTAAGTCTATGTGCAGAATCCGTGTACCTGCTCTCATTTACTGTCTTAACTGTTTGGTGGTTCTTGAAATTTTGTGAGATGTCACCAGAGATTCTGGCATTTCGGGCAAAATAAATTTATATTAAAAAAATCGATTCAGGATTTTAATGAATCGATTTTACGTTATCCAAGCCAGAATCTATTTTAATCGATGAATCGATTATAAAAACCCACCCCTAATTTAGACCAACTGAAGCACCAGTGCTAACACATGAAAGCTGGATTCTGACTTGGGCAAATTCCCATAAATGGTAGCTTCAAGCCACTGACCCCTGAAACAGTTACATACTCCATACGTGTGAGTTGTCATACCAACTCACACGTATGGATCGTTTGTTTAGCCAGTCCTATCCCTGAGAAAGTACTTTAATGTGCTGGGGAAATATCAAAATAATATTATTATCACAGTATTACTGGTTTTATAGAAATGATTCTTTCCTATATTTAAATAGACTGCTTGTGCAGTGACTTTTTTCTTTTTCTTTTTCTTTTTTTTTTTTTTTAAAGTAGTAGTTTCAGTACTAGCACTCCTTGTGGAATCAGACTGTTTTGTATTTTGGTGACTATTTTAGTGGTGATATTGCATAATAAAACACCATACTCTTACTGCCTAAGACATTAGTGTAGCTGGTTATATCTGGAATATTCATGTACAAGGTTGTTGGAATGATTAAAGCTTGAGTAGGAGGTAGCAAGAGATGTTATCCCTCCCCGGTGTTTCATTTATTAGTCCCTTCACTGATGATTTATTCACGTCTTGTGTTTTCTTTCTTGTCTTGTCACTGCTTCAGCTAGCTTACGCCAATTTGAATTATTCATCCAGGTGTTATCTACCTGTCACAACTCTATGGCGTTCCTCTCAAGGCACAGTGCCCCCTTCTCCCTCCCTTACACACCAATGCAACCCTAGCTCCCTATAGTCAAAGTGTTGAATAATGGAGGCAGATCTAAAGGGCAAACAGGTAGACAGACAGTCAAACAGGTGTTCTTTGGGGATGGCAAAGGAGGGATGTTCACCTGAAGACATTGTACTTTCCTGTTAGGTTAATGACCTTACGTCTGCACATTTTCACAGAATTTTATTTTCCAGCTTTCATGAAATACATGCCTCATCTTATGGGCAGGCACGCAAAAGCGGTTCAGCTCTGTGCCGTTCCAACTGCTTGGTTTGTTACTGTTAACGGGCAATGCATTTTAGATTTGGTGAGAAAGAAACATTTGTCTTTCACATCATTTGAAAGGTTGTTCTCCTCACGGTTTTTTCCAGTCCCAGTGGAGGTTGTAGGAGCAGGATGACTGGTAGGTTGTGCAATCGGACCCAGCTGCTACCACTAGCGCGGGTCATCAAGTGAACTTACATGTGTACGTGCTTGTGGGTTTGTTTTCTTATTAACACAGCCGTGTAGCATCATGTTTCATCTCACTTAAGAGCAGCAGCATCTGGATCAGCATTAAACATTAAACGGGA